GCTATCCCTATCGCCGCTGGATCTCCCCTCCTCGTGAACCAAAAACTCGTGACAACTATGTCGAGGTCAGACCCCGGCAAGGAAACACTATACAGGGTCGCTATGCGTCGGAAGCAACTCCACCGCACTTAACAATATGTGACAGGCAATGGACTAGACTTTAGTATTGGCTTCCACAATTTCTTGTTAGAAACTGTGGAGTCGTTTCTAACTCATTTTACTTGAAAGCTCCCTGCTCCAGCTCATGGTCCTATGTTGTAATCAGATGGTGGCACCCAGAGTGAATGACAATATAGGGTGGCGTGACCATTATCTGTCTGAACCATGGCGGCTATGTGCCGTGGAGTCGGTTCCGACTCATAGCGACCCTGTACAGGGTTTCTGAGGCTGTAAATCTTTACGGGAGCAGAAAACCTCATCTTTCTCCCGCGGAATGGCTGGTAGTTTCCAACTGCCGACCTTGAGGTTAGCAGTCCGATTCGTTTGGTAGCGTAGTGGTTACGAATCGGGCTGCGACTCCACGGCACATAACCAACACTACCACGTTACCAGAGCTCCTTTATCTGAACCGTTGTTGTTGTTGTTAAGTGCCATAGAGGGAACACAGAAAATAATTTGAGGGGTTGACAGTTTTCTCAATTCTCCCAAGGATGATATATAATCTGTGCCATTCTAGATGCAAGAGGTGTCCCTATTCGTTATGTACAATGAATGCTTTAGGGCCAACCCCCTCCCCCCCAGTCCAGTCCTTTCTGACTCATAGTGACCCTATAAGGCAGAATGGAACTGCCCCATAGGATTTCCAAGGTTGTAGATTTTTACAGAAGACTGCTACATCTTTCTCTTGAGGAATGGTTGGTGGGTTTAGAGCTTTCCATTTGTGGTGCTGCAGGATAATGCGCTAGACCGCAAGGTCAGCTTGGGCCCTCAAGGTTGGCAGTTCAAACCCACCAGTCGCTCCTCGAAGGTACTTAACAACAATAACAATTTACTATTAGCACTGGACTGCAAGCTACAATGTCCGCGGTTTGAGCCCGTCAGCTGCTCCGAGGTAGAAAGATGTGGCTTTCCGCTCTAGAGAAGATTAAAAGCCTCAGAAATCGTATATAGCATTGATATGAGTTGGAAGCAACTCGATGGCACTTAACAACAACATCATTCGGTTAACATCCAAGAACTAACCATTGTACCACCAAGGTCTCTGCCTTAGGGCAGTTGTTGTTGTTGTGAAGTGCCGTCGAGTCGATTCTGACCCATAGCGACTCTGTAATGGTTTTGGAGAAACAGCTGATGAGCTTGAGCCGCCAACCTTGCAGTTCAAACGGCTTTGCACTCTGATGCATTAAGCCACAGTAGCACAGCTGAATTCTCTTGGTGCTGGTTAAAGAAATGGGTTTTCCAGTAAAACAGATCCAGGTTTGTGCTCGTCATCCTCTGATCTGAACCCCTCCAAGATAAATACCTTATCTGAAAACCAGGACAAATCAGAGCTATTTCATAGGGGGTTTGTCTGGATTAAATGAGATCATTCATGCTGATTCTTAGTAGTGTGCTTAACAAATGGTAAATGCTTCATAAATATTAGCTTTTGTTTTGCTCAATGTAGAAAACCTTCAGAAAGTTTCCATTGTCCATAGATTTCAGTTCAGCATGGCATGACAAGGGCCTTTAGAAGTTGGCACTAGCCTACTCTCAGGCTTCATCTTTTTCCAATTCCTCTCTTGCTTCTTGGACCTCAATGAACTTTTCCTAGTCTTCCAAATATAAACTCTTTCATTCCTCCAGGCTTTTGCACATGTTGATCCTCTGTTGACCTGTCCTTGCTCCCATTCTCTCTGCCTGAAGATTCAAACAACTTACAATGCTTAGTTCTAAGTTTGGCATTGGACTCAAGACAATCGTAGGTTCACATTCAAGCTTTGCAAACCATTCATAAACTGTATGGAGTTAGGAAAATACTTAATTTAGACTCAGGATTATCAATAAGATTAAATTACACAAATACGGAATACATGAATAGCACAGTAATTAGTATATGGGTATTACTAAAAACTATTCATTATCTTTCCCCTCTTCCTCCCCCTCTGGAATCCTTTGGAATGCTTTCCTAAGGCCCCTTCTGCACATTGCTTGTATCTCTTTTATAGCATTAATTATCCGATGTTGTAATTGTTTACTGGTCTATCTTACTCAGAGACTGAATTCTTTGGTGGGGTGGGGGCTAAGACTAGTCTTGGTTACAAATGTATTCTCAGGGTCTAGCGCAGTTTCATACATTACAGGTCCTTAATGTTTGAATGTTGAGTACATGGGGCAGAAACCCAAGTTAAGACATGGAATGGTGAACTTCTATGTGGGGAATTCTCTTTGCTGGGCTACTCCATTCTCTGAGTCCAATAATTCTAAACTAAAATTTCCTTTGGGGGGGTGATGTGGCTGAGACTGTGTCTTACAGAACACAGGTCCATACACATAATAGCTGATTAAGAAATGTTTGATGGAGTTACAAAATTTATTGAAGACTCTAGCCTATGGTAGAACCTCCCTGGGTTCCTATGAAGAAGTGAGTTCTGCGATTTCCACAAGCCTTTCTTTCAGTGAGCTCAGAGAAAATAAGACAGAGTTTCATGCAGAAAACCAGTATCATTGCGTTGTCCCAATTGATCTAACAAAGAAGAATCTGAAGGGGCTTCCCTACTCCTGTCCCGGGAGAAGGGACTGGGGTGGGTCATGCTGTCACAGAAGGGGAGAATGACAGATGGGACTGAGGGAAGGTAACTCTCTCCAGGCACCAAGTCTGGCTGGGGCTGGTGGGGTCAAGTTACTTTTTAAAGGAGAAGGCTTTTCTTCCAAGCAGAAAGACAATCCTTTGATTTGTTTGCCAAGTAGCCAGAGGATAATAAATATGGTAAGGAAAGCGCCAAGAGAAGAAAGAAGGGGACGAGTGGTTAAACCATAAAGACCAGTTTGTGAGGGGCACCTGGGCTCAAAATGCATTCCCTTTGATGTGTGCTTTCCTCCCCCACTTCAAAAACCTCTAGAGAGAAGTTAAGTTTCTGGCTCAGCTGAAACAGCAGAGATGATCGCTAAGTTTGGTGGCAGCTCACGTTTCAGCACACGGAACAACTTGCTCAGAGGCTCTTTGGAAGACCCAGGAGAAATTCTGTGCTGGGAAACCCTTTTTCCTAGGGTTCTCAGGCATGCAAGGCCTTGGAAACAAGGACCCCCAGACACAACAAGCCTTTAGGTATCACACAGGGACTGCCGCCCCATTTATTTGCATACCAGAGGTTTCTGCCACAAACAGCAGTTTTATAGACTTTGGGCAAGGGCAGAGAGAGAGAGATTGCATCTCAGCCTCTTTTTTTCTGAGGACTGGAGATCTGAAGAAACCGTTTCCACTTTTCCTGCAATGTCATTACCTTTGTAGTCTGCTCTACTTGCACTCACATATGAAGATCCTGCCCGTGGGTTAAGCACCAAATTAAGTAAAAGTCATTGCACAGACTGTACTTTTCATCATAGAGAAAGTCAGGCTGTGATGCCATCAAAGAACAAGTCAGTCTTGGGAAAAATATACATGCTCCCTTCTTTTTGAGCCCATGGAAGAGACTGCTCCATGGGCCTGACCTAGACTTTTTGTTACAGGGAGATTTGGGGGGGCCTTCTAGGGAATGACTCCACCTTAGTCTTCTTCGAGTGTCTGCAGGGATGTGGTTTCTGCAGGTATTACCCACATTTCAGCTCCTCAGTAACACAAAAAGACTGAAACTATCAGAAAAAGAACCTAGGGCTGATAGCATTTGAATACTGATGAGGTAATTGCAGGGAATGGGGCCAGGATAGTTGGGGGATGCTCAGTAAGTGAACTGCATCTTTTGCAAGTAGCCCAGTTTGTCCAAATTGGGATGGCAGGCCAGTTGCACCATCGGTGGTGGCCCACAGAGCAGTATCAGCACATCATCCCCTGGGGCAGGCAGGTGCTCCCGGATCATGTTGGCAGTCACAAAGCCTTTGCTGTAGGCCCAATCTAAAGTATAGGAGAAAGGAGAGAACTGGCACTCCAAATGCATGCAGGGAGTAGGGTGCCACGAGGATGAACCAATGGGGATGGCCCAGAAAGGCTCCTGAGGAGGTAAAAGGTTGTAGTAGCAGCTGGATAAGTATGCTCAGCCTGCCTCTCAGCTTGGGAGAAGTATACTCAGCCTGCCTCAGGCCAAGCCTCAGCAGTACAATCATACCTGTCACCCACCTAGCAGACAGGACAGGAACTGGAAGGAAATGGTCCAGGAGACTATTGAGTCTATGCATTCAGACTTGAGAGTTTGGTAAAGTCAGTGAGGGTTGGTTTCACTTAAACCAGAACTCACAGAAAGGCAAGGTCTTGATTTTGATGATGAGAGGAGATTGGGGTGTCCAGAAATTGGAAAGGTACCTTTTGGGGGCTGATCCAGAGTGAACCAGAGCTTAAAGCGATTGGGATATTGGACCTGTAGTTCCTCCAAATCCTCCCGCAAGATTATGTCTTTTTCAGTCTGCAATGAAAAGGGGGAGCAAAGACTTTGAGAAACTGCTCAGGCTCACATACAAAAAAACAGTCCTCTTCTACAATTTCCTAACTTGGACAGAAAAAGAATACCAAAAGAGTCAGGTTGCTAACCTCAAGGTCAGCAGTTAAAACTATCAGTCATTCCATGGGACAAAGATGAGGCTTTCTGCTCCCATAAAGATTTACAGCCTCAGAAACTCTATACAAGATGGCTAGGAGTCAGAACCGATTCCACGGCACACCACCACCAACACCACCAGTACTTTTAGGAAGTTGGGATGAGGGGAAGGGAAACATATATTATCCATACAGTGTAAAGGAATAAAGATAGAATATTTAATCAAGGAAAGAGCCCTGGTGGCGCAATGGTTAAGCATTTGGCTGTTAACCAAAGGGTTGGCAGTTTGAACCCACCAGCCACTCCACCGGAAAACAGGCCTAGTCATCTTCTGCTGTAAAGACTGCTGTTGTTAGGGTGCCATCAAGTCAAGTTCCAACTCATAGCGACCTTATATTTCACAGAATGAAATGTTGCTCAGTCCTGAACCATCATCTATAAAAAGGAAGGCAAATACTTGCTTCATAAATGCATATGTAAAGTGATAAGGAGCTCTGGTAGTACAGTGGTTACAAATCAGGCTGCTAACCTCAAGGTCGGCAATTTGAAACTACCTGCTGTGCCACGGGAGAAAGATGAGGCTTTCTGCTCCTGTAAAGATTTGCAGCCTCAGAAACCCTGTATAGGGTCATTATGAGTCGGAACCAACTCCACAGTACTTAACAACAACAACAACAACAACAAAAGTGACTGTGTCTGTGCCCATTGTTAAAGTCATGTGTCAATCCATCTCACTGAGGGCCTTCCTAGGG